ACTCGATTTGTCAAAAATATCCATACAGCACTTGCTCTAGTGTTTTGTATGGATATTTTTTTACGCACAGACCTAACCGATACCTTTGCGGGCAAAAATATCGGTTTTCCGTCCTGAATACCCTAAATGAGACCAAAAGAGGCATCTTCTACCCCTAATCGAGCATCAAGGCCACTTTTGTATGGGATTCCCACCCCCCCCCCCCCCCCCCCCCCCCCCCCCCCCCCCCCCCCCCCCACCCACCCCCCCCCCACGTCCCCTCTCAATTAAAAGCAACCACGAAGCGCGAAAACAAAGGACCACAAGCACAGCAAACTGAAAACTATGATTTTTAATTAAGCTTTTGTTTTTTATGGCTGTCGGTAGTGGGGGGGGGGTGTGTGGTGGTCGGTGGGTGTACTGTCTTTGAGTATATTGCTGTGGATTTTTTATCTGTATTGATGTGATTTTTTTTAACCCCACCCCTAACCCGATCCTTTGCGGGCAAAAACATTGGTTTTCCCCCCCGAATCCCCCAAATGGGACCAAAAGGGGCTTCTCCCCCCCCCACTCCGGCACCAAGGCCACTTTTGTAGGGGATTCCCCCCCCCCCCCCCTCCCCCCGATACACCTGCAAACCTCCTTAGTGTCCTTAACTAACAGAGGACACTTTTCAGATAGAAACGGAATCTGGACATGTTAGCTTTAGAGTACACTGCATAACACGAGACAGTTTTTTTTTTTTCAAAATCGGTTTTTCTAGGCGCGAAGCGTCAGGAGTTATGGGCTGTTTTGCAGTCTAGCATGCATGCCATTGATTACTTTGCGTCTTTAACAATTTTTAAACTTCGGGGACATGAGACGCTGGGGTAACAAAATCACTGAATACCGCCGTCTAACCTCGCTCCTGTACATTAGGGAAGATTCGCGGGAGGGAAATAGTGGCGGATCCAGGTCAGGGGCCCGGGGGGCGCCTCCCCCTTAATTTTAGACCAAACTGAGGCCCGAAGGGCCGAAAAAATTTTTTTTGAGACGGCCTCTCCCCCGCCCCTCCTCCCTTATCTTAGTGTCTGGGCGAAGCCAGGAGAAATTTCGTTTTGGCACGACTACGACGTGAAAATGCCTTATTTCGCGTTTTATGGAGGACGTAAACAAGCAGCGACGAAATTTTTTCTCTCTTTCTGAGCTTGGATATGGTCCCTTGAAATTCAGCTTCAGGAGGGTTCGCCTACATTTGACAAAGTAAGAGGGTAGGAATAATCGCTATAAAGACTGAAAAAAAAAACGCAAATTCACTTTTAAAGCGACGTTCTCGTTGCCATCGCGTCGTTGGATCTTAAAGTCCCTATTATCCGCACTGTTGTACGCGCCTTTAAGTATGAGTTATTTTACATCAGTTGAATTTTTTCTTTTTCAGGGATGGGGTAAAACACACACACATTTTAATACCGAAAATGTTCGAAATCGTACTTATGGTAAAGTTAACGTAAATCCCCTTTCCTTACTTTTAAATAAACACTCCACGGTTTTGTTTTAGGTGCAAACATAGCGGGAGAGCAATAAGAATCAGACGAATTATGAACGATAGGAACTAAATAGATGATTGGAACAAGAACTTTTTGGAGGCTTCTTGCCACTCTAGCCGGGCCTAAAGGGGTTATCATTAGATCCCATCCACCGTAGCCCCTTCGGACACCTCATAAAATTTACACAACGTAGTTTTCCCTTTACTAATTAGGTTTAAGCACTGCCTTTACTGATTAGGGCTAAGTACTGCCTGATTAGACTTAAAGCACTGTTTCGAAACTGGTTAGGTTCTTTTTTGGGGGTTGGGGTGGATGCTGTATGTTTTTTAAATTATTTCACCTCCATCCAGCAAATCCTCAATGGTCGAGTGGTTAGCGTAGTATACTGGACCACCTGGGTCGTGGCCGGGTTCGAATACTACTGTCTTTTGTATCAATTTTTTTTCCCTTCAAATTAAAGAGACTTGCCCTTTCATGAACATTTGATTTCCAGCTTGAATCGAAACATCATCTAAGTGTGATATAAAAGCAGAAAACAGTTCTACCTTGTGTAAATTTCATGAGGGGAGAAAGGGGCTACGGCCGATGGGATCTAATGCTGACCGCCTAAAGGCGGGAGGTTTTTCATCGAAACACAATTTCTCGCCTCAATCAGAAAAGATGGAAGAGTACACTCTTTATTGTACAAGAATGTTTTTCCGGCCCAGGCTGAATATTCTTATTTTTCTGTCGATTTTGGGCTGAAAATATTCTTAAATTATTCTTAATTAAATATTATAGCTCAGGGCATTTCTGCTTTAGAATGTATTGGGGCAGGAGCTGATTGGGGTTTTAATGACAAGTTGTCTTAGTCCTTTCCAAACTCTCAGCCTCTCATTAAAATATTCTTAAAATTTCGCATATTTCAGCCTCGACAGTCTTATTAAATATCTTCAAATTTAAAAAAAAGAGTGTAGAAAGAAAAACGAAACAAGGCTACGTGATACTATCACCATTCGATACCATTCCGCTTTCTTGTTTACTCCCTTAGTTTCATCAAAAAAGGAGCCAAAATTCACAAGGAGCCGACGATATTCAGTTAGTCAACCGCCATGTTACATGTAAAACAACTGAGATGGCTGCATTTTCCAGTTTACTGATACAAACAACATCGAAGTATGAAAGACGACTTTCTCTCTCCACCCCCCCCCCCTCCCCACTTGCACTCATCCTGTTGGTCCCCTCCCCTAAGGAAGAACTAATATGGTACTTAGGCCTCTCCTGATAGTTAAGGCTGGTGGGGGACTGGCGAGGGACTGAAACCCTGAAACCACATCATTGCATGTGACTGAAAATTCCGATCACAGAGAGGGAAAAGGTTGTCAATGCGTAACTCATTGAATAAGCCGTGAAATTTTACGGGATTAATCAGATTTCTGGTGGGACGTAAATAGAAACTATCAAGAGGAACGCGTGACGAACCCCTAAGAACGTCTGCGTGGGAGGCTACAAGCGCAAGAAGCTGGCCTTAAACACTAACTTTAGCGTTGGAATTTCTATCGCGCAAAACAGCGAGCAAACGCTTTGGTCTTATCAACTCAAAATAGACTGACTGTAAAGTTTAAAACGCAAGCTTTCGACTTCGAACAGTACTTTCCCTGCTAGCAGAAGCTTCTTTTCCTGCTAGCAGGAAAAACAGTACCTTTCCGTGGTCCCGACCTTTGTATTCTTCAAGATTTCGATGAGATATATTCTATGCGTGTTACATATCAGTAAAATATTATTTCGGGCATTACAGTGAAGTTCTCAGAATTGAAGGTCTTTTGTTTTTTCACAACTCTTTTCAAAGGCGAGAAAATTACTACTTTTAATTGAATATTGTTTCTCACTATTCCCTTAAACCAATTAACAACAGACGCAACTACGCCATCTTGTTAACCTCTTTGTTCAAGGATAAGTTTTCGCTTTTGTGGACTGCATGCAAAGGAACTCATGTGAGTTTTTTACCCGAAATTAAATTGTGAACATTCTCGCGAAGACATCAAAATGAAGAAAATCATCGCGCCAGTGGAATATCAGTTTTTGATGACTATTCACTTCCGCAGTGTTACGCGTTATGTTATTGTGATTAAAGGCGGCTATAGTCAAGTGGAGTCAAAATGTCTAGTCCCTATTCTTCCTGGCAAATTTAAATCTCAAAGGCAAAGTTCAAGTTTGAACAAATCGAGGACCAAGTAATCGGATGTATTGTTTAATTAAATCTTGTTTTTAAAAAGATTTTGGGTTTAAAAATATAACTGTAAAGCCAGTGAAAATCCGGGTTAAATACCGATAACATATCTTACCAGCGGGAAATAAGTGACAGGTCGAGGATGTCATAGATGTCCTCGAGGATTAAGAAAATTAATACAATTTCAAGCCCCGAAGCTTGATCGTCCGCTGTTGTGGTAGTTTTAGATTGAAAGTTCAAGAAAGTTTGGTTTTTGCAGACAAAAATTAAAGAAAGTTTCAAGACCAAATAAAGAAGGTTGCGAGACGACTTAATACTTTAGGGCATTATGCCGAAGAAAAAGGTTGACTTGATACAGAAAAAAATGAAGAGGTTTTGATTTAGGATTAAGTGGTTTTTTTTCTTCTAAATCTTGGTACATGGAACGAAACAAATTCCTACTTACAATATCGACTGAGTTTACTTCACAGGAAGAGCATATAATGAAATTAGCAGAGCTAGCGGCAAGAAGGGCACAGGCTTGACACAACACCCATTTTTGATGGATGAAGTATCAAACCAAACTATGCAAAAATAAAGAACAAACACGTAGCTGGAAAATAACACTCCTCAAATCTATCTTGCCGTTGCCTTACACCGCGCTGGATGTTTACTACTGACAAGCAATAAAACCTCTTGTGCTTAAAAGCAGAGCCTTAGAAAGATTAAGAGCTGTTGACTAGCACTTCGTAATCGCAAAAGGGGTCAATATTGTCGGTGTTATTGTAAAACAATATTCGTACACGTTCTGTGCATTATGGTAGTTGTTTTAAAAAGGGAGAGGGACTTATTTGGATGAAAATGGTGAAAGTCACTTGGTTAACGCAAAACGAAGGATTCCGTAGTTCACGCCGACGGGTTAAATGTTTCGACATCTTAAAAGATTTATGTTTCCGTTCTAGGTATCTGCAAATTCCTCTAGCGACTTGTCGTCTTGTCGTAGAATGATGAATTACTCGGGAAAGCAGTGCTTCACTTTGTAGATCCCATTACATACCAAAACAGAAATCTTGAAGCTCTCCTGAGCTACTTGATTGGTTCGCAAGCAATCACGTGTTCTAAAATCATACATCATTCTTTCTTTACTTGGTCGAGAGTGGCAGATCAATACGGCATTACCTTTCGGCTCTTGTCAAGCCAGAGTGCTTCAGGGCCATTCAAGAGGTCAAAAAATTGTCATTCTCGTATTGTTTCATCAAAAACATATCCATTCATTTATTTAAACGACACACAGTGTGTGTGGACAAATGGATTTAAACAAAGACGACCCTACCCTGCGTTGCCAGGCAAAAACGAAAAGTCCTCAAAAAAACACGAGAGATTCAGACGTTCACGCGGACGACTCAACCAAGCGAGGTCAGAGAGAGGCGCCTTCTTCGCCAGAATCTGCTATTTCGGAGAAAAATGTTCAAGAAATTTATCCCTGGATGAAGGAATTTCGTTCTAAAGGTACGAAGCAGTTTTCAAAGTTTTTATTCTTTGCACTTTTGTCCGGAAAACGTATCTTGGAGAGTCAGAAGTGGGTGTGGGGCAAATGAAACCCCTTTCGCTTGTTGAACATATTCGTCTACCGATATTTCTTATAATCTACTGCCAATAGTTCTCGAATATTGACCGATGCCCTAGGCTGGATTTAGTTGCGGATGTTTTGTCACTTCAAAGTTCGTTTATTGTGGATTAACGGAGAAGAATGGTTCGTATAAAGCAACCGCCAACATGGCGCTACTTTCTTTGTTAGGTCGTTTGACTCTGCTTTAGAAGGTGCCAAGCGCACTATTTTTTAATCATACTGCAAACAATTCACTTATTTCTACTGAAAAAAGCTCGCAGAAAAGAATTTTAAAATAAGATTGTATTGTTATGCTAACATTTAAAACCGATTTTTCGTTCTTTCAAGGCGAGGCGTTCACACTTCGTTGGCGCCGGTGAGAAAAAGGTACATCGAGTCGCCATGTTAAAAAAGTGTTGTTAATCCCTCGGTTCTTGCTGTGAAGCTTCCTAAATCTCCCTCAAATGTCGTAATTAACCACAAAATACTCTCTTCTCAGCCTTTCCAAAGATGTTGTGTGAATGTTGCAAGATCCGCTAATGCGACAGTATATTTCGTTTAGCTGCTGTTCTTGTTTGTACATATCTCTAATCCGCAAGTATTTCAGTGTTCTATCTAACTTGAACAAGACCTCTATTCTTTTCTCTAGAACCGTTGAAAACAGAATAAATCTTGAGATTCTGATACCACCCGGCATCTAGTTTTTTCTTGTTTTCAAACGAATTTATTCGCAGCCTATTCAGAGACGAATTCATGATGCACGGTCGAAATGGAGCGTGCGTTGCTTTCTTCTAGTACGAGTGGACGATAACCGCGAATTTCAGTGATCGAAATTACAATGATGGGACAATTTTAAGTTCAAGAATTTTTCACTTTTATGTGTATTAGAATACGTAATAGTTTTTGTTTTTCATAGCTGGTAAAATCGGTGATACCTTGGAGAAAAAACATCTACAACAATTTGCCTGAGTTAATCAGTCTATGTTATTAAAATTATCCAAAGGGCAAGATCTTAGAACGGGATACTTGTAAATATAAGAACCTCTTTACTATTTTTAAGAATCTTGTAAATTGTAAGCATCACTCGGCAATTCAAAGGTAAAGAGAACACCTTCTGATCCTTGCTTGCTATTTCAGTCCAACGAAAAGCAAACGCTGCTCTTTTTCTTGCGGAGCGCTTTTTCTCGTAACATTATCCTACATAAATTTCAATCTCTACCTCTTATTTGTAATACTCAGCTCTAGAAAGTTGTTGCATCTATCAAAAGATTTGATACATTTTTCTTTGTTGGAGAGTGCTGACGATCCACTTGTATCAAATCGGGCCACGCACACGTAAACTACCCGCTATTTTTCCACGTTTGGAATGTTTAAATTGGGTTGTTTAAACTGAAATTCAACTAGTGGCTTTTTTCTAAAGATACAAGTATCGGAGCGGGGAAGTTAACCGCAGTAATTTCTATTTTGTAGCAGTATACATGCGTTGTGTTCAGTTTTGGCGAATTCCTCCCTTTCGCTCCATAGGCATCTTCCAGTCGGCAGCCATCAATGAATGCCATCGAAGCTTTTCAGATTCCCACGGCTGAAATGATTAAATATGAGCTTGTAAATGAAAGTTTAGCAGTACTTATCTAATGCACCTATGGTCATGCTGGAGACGTTTGGTTTTTATAGTGACCTTGAGTCTTACGGGTGTAAATGATTTTAAAAAACTTGAAAGGCTAAAGATAATAACCATGTCGAGGATCATTTCCTGTGTGAGTGCTGTGTTTATTGTACAGTTCGCAGAGGCTCTTCCTGATTGAATCACATTTTACGCTTACGTAGGATTAAACAACGAGTTTTTCTTTCTATCCCAAAGGAGCACCACAGGAAAAAGACGACAAGAACAGGACAATCTACTCCACAAGGCAGCTAGTCGAGCTGGAGAAGGAATTCCACTACAATAGGTATCTATGCAGGCCGCGGAGAATTGAAATCGCACAATCTCTTGGACTTACAGAAAAACAAGTGAAAATATGGTTCCAGAACCGGCGAATGAAATGGAAAAAGGAAAACAAAGTCGTCGAGAAAGCATTGGAGAATGAAATTCAAGAGAGAGTGAGACAGTTGAGCGCTCAAAATCCAAACGGCTATGGAAGTTTAACAATGATGAACAATGTGAACACTCAGTACGCGAATTCCCTCAGTGAAGTGAACTCTTTCCAGCAAACGAGGGGGGGCTACGGGTTTCCATCCCCCATGCATACCTACAATGGCGGATTTATGGACTTACAAAGGCCGCTGTGGAGTCAGGGTCCACTACAACATTACTAAACTTGAAAAAGATTTACATTTTATGATTCCGCAACGCCGGTGAATGCAAAGAATTTTCAGTTCGCCGGAGACATACAGTAGGCTAGCATACAAACCGTTTCATGTTAATACCTTGAAGTACATTTAGTTTGGTTATTGTTCAAAGGACTCGTATTTACGTTTTTCCCCGAGAAATATTTATTGCCCTCAAGAAGATGGCTGTTTTTTCAATATACCAAATTGTTACAATTTGAGGAAAAAAATTATTGCTTTACTGAACACTCCCGTTTTGCATACATGTTAATGTTTATTTATACTTTCAAGCAATTCTCAATGATTTCTCTAATGTAAAGGAAAACATCTTTCACGTTCGTTTATTTCCAGCCGGCTGCGTTTCTTAAATCTAAGTGATACTAGGGAAAAGGTGTTTTATTAAGCTACGCCGTACGAGAGCGCAGTTGAATTACAAGTTAACTTGCGGTCTGACTAAACGGGTATTTTCTCCTTTAAAGTCAAATTCCAGCGCGTTCCTTAAGCAATTTTCTCCGAACACAATATATCATCAATCATTAATTTTTATATGACAAATCTTAACCGAGAAGAGAAGAAGTTTGTTGAAAAAACCGTCCGTACACGAAGCCGATCTACTCGGAAGGAATATTTTGCAGAACGCCGATACAATTACTCTGAAGTTTCATGATTAGCCAGGGTTACTAGGGAACTAAGTGAATCAAGTCCAAGTTAGGGACAATTATATGGGGCGACATTAACTAGAACTTGATTTATTCAAAATACCCCTGACGCAGTTTGCAACCGAGCTTTTCGTTTTGCAAGGAGAAAACTGAAATTGATACGACTGCCACATTTGGGTCGATGTCTACTGACATAAATCTGCATCGCGTTCAATGTAGACTTGTATAATTAAAAGCTTCCGCAAACTTCACAGTATATGAAATAATCCCATTAAAACTTGCTACAGATGTAGAGGGTTTTTCGCGTTAATTTTAACACTTGTGGAACGAGATTAGAAAGGCATTTTGTTCCAATAATAGCTGTAAATTCTGACCCCTATGTTGGGTAAAAACGACCGAGACGCAAAGACAAAGCAAAATATCTTCTCTTACCCAAGAAAGCAAATAATTTTTTAGCAACTTATTCAATATTGTATGATACGTTTTCGTTATTTAAAACAGACAAGAATATTCTGGATTATATTTTTTATACTGTATTCAAATATAATAATATATTTTGACACCAGGAAGTTATTTGTTACTAAATTGATGGAGAGCAAATAAAAGAAGTTGTGTTCAGAGGCCATGATTTTGGTTTTTCCCGAATACTCATGTTTTCTGCTCATGACAGGTTGTACTGTTAACAAGTCAATGGCATCTACATGGGAAAACCGGAAATTTCGGTTGGAAAATCAAATGGTTCGCACCATCACGTTTAGAAAGCTTCAGAAAATATGGGCTGTGTGTTGATGCGAAGGAAATTTTCAACTCTTTTTAGTCTGTTCAGCTGATCTCGATATACTTAGTAGCAAGTTGTTCTCCCTCCACGTCAAATTTTATAGTTTTTATGTTCAAGCACAAAATTTCCACCCAGGTGGTTTGTACAAATGGTAAGCAGCCCATGTAAAGATACCGTAAATCCTCTGTTATGCCCCCCTCTCTAATAACCCCCCCCCCACTCCCCTACCCCTTCATTCTTTAAAAATTAGACTATATGAACCCTTTTGTATTACTACATGATGAAATTTCTGCAATTTGATTGGCTAAGAGAAGTGGCATTTCAGCTTAATCTGGAATATCTACATGTGAAAATTACAACCCTTTTCTGGGTAGTAGTATAAACAAATAATAGCATGATTTGTATGTGATATTTGGCGTAAATACCACTCGTGATATTTCAAAATTGTCTCAAACTTCACTCGCCTAATGGCTGGTGAAATTATGTATAACAGTTTCAAAAAATCACTTGTGGTATTTATGCCAAATATAATATCACTACAAATCATGCTATTGCCTATACTAAGCCCCAATATCCACATACAAATTCTCAAACTGATCTCCATACATTTCCTTACAGAATTACAGCCTTTTCCATTAGGTGATCATTTTATTTATTCTCATAAAATTTTCTTTAAATTATGCATTGATTTTGTTAGGAGAAAAGTGATGTTGATCACTCTTGGGACTTAAAGGGCTAATAGAGAGGAGAAGTTGTCACGTCACGTTGCCATTGTAGCAAAATATTTGGATGAAAACAAACCGAAAACGTCACTTAAAAAGTGAATCGCACATGTTGGCGAAATTTTCTAGGGTTGAATCCGAAAGGACCGTATCTAAGTGTAGAAGAGGAAAAAAACAACTTTTGTGTTGTGTTCACCTACTCCATAAAGCGAGTGTGTGAAATTAGGAAGTTTCATGTTGCAGGGGGGGCAACGACAGTAAAAAAATGTACAAAATAGCATGAAGCACATGCAAATTTGTTGTTTTGTCAATAAAAACCTATTACTTTTTTGCCGTTCTCCTTCCATCGCCGTTGTCATTGGTTTTGTTGTCATCCAGAAATAGTGCTACCATGGTGATGTGACATTATACTTCTCCTCTCTATTAAGCACGACTGTAACCAGAGCACCTAGAGACTTTTAAAATAACTTTAAGAGACTTGCATGGACATAGCACAAGAAATCGCGACTTACCTAGAATTCCAAACCCGAAAAATGAAAGGGGTAAAAGAACTAGTTACTGTAGATACATTAGTGCTGGACAACTCTTCCCAATTTTTTAAGGAAACCCATACCTTGTAAACTTTTAAGGTGGGACTTTAAAAAAATCTTAAGAGCCAAATATAGTTTGTAGTTTGTAAAATTTAGCCTTTTAGTCGTTAGCCTTTGTATTTTCATGATATTTAAATCTTTTGGTCTGTTTTTTAGTCTGTAATTTTTTTTCACTTAGCCTTTTTAGCCTTTTAACTTTTTTAACTGTTAGCTTCTTATATTTGATTGTCATTAGTAGTTTTAATAATACATTTAACCTTAGGCCGCTTTCCATTTGTCAGAACTGACCAGCCAGACCATTCCCGTCATGACGAGAATCTCCCTTTTAATCAAAACCATCTGACCAGATCAGTCTAATCCTAAATAGTGTGCACAAAGGAGATGGTTTTTCAACAAATACTCTATGAAAAAGCAGACTTAATTTGCCAAATGACTGCTCCAGCAATGGTCCCGCCGGCCAGTTCTGACAAATGAAAAGCGCCCTCAGTCAGAGGACCTCCCTGAAAGCCACTAAATGTGACGGGAGCTTCCTCTATAAAGAATATTTATTGTTTTAATATTATTATCATTAACGACTTCATGTGGACTGATCCCGGATGGTTTACTCATGTGCTGGAAGTAAGGATATGTTTATGATCTTCAGCTACAGCTGTACATGACCTCCGGCTTTCTATACTCGAGCTTTTACACTTTGCATTCTAGTTTTTATGGAGGACTGATGTTATCATCTTTGCTACAACCTGGGGCGTGGTGGGGTCAATAGAAGATTTACGGTTTTGGGACAGAGGGGAACTTAAATTTGAAATTTGAATCGAAAAGAAAGATATAGTGTGTTCCATCAGCTCTCATTTAGTTGATTTCTTGAATGCAATTTGGATTTAATTTAGTCTCCCACACAGTTCTTCTTAGCTCTGGCATGAAACCCTTTTGGACGTGTTGGGGGACAAAACAAGGCTAACTTGAGTGGAAGACTCAAAACAAACTGTCTTCTTAATAAACATTATGGCCAGATATAGAGATAAACTTATGGCAGTATGGTCACCTCGCAGGAAATCAACGTACAACATTGACTGCATTCATCAGCAAAATGCCATTAAATTGATGAGTTATGTAAGCAGTGCACAAGTCACAAACAAAGTTGTTTACAGTAAAAGGTGCAGTCAATATTAATTAAATTTAAAAAGAGGGTGTTGTTTAGTTTTCCTTACAATAAACCACATACAGTCAACTCTCGTCTTGTAAACACCTTGCCATAACAAACACCCTGATAAAGTTGAGTTGGGACAGCAGCTAAATCTTGCAGCTAACAACGTTTTGGCTTAAACAGATTCGGGGCTTCAAAACCACAGAGGCTCACCTATACCCAAATATTGGTCGAGTATTCCTCCCCCCACCCCCTCACCCACTTCTGGTCAACTCCCACAGTGCTTCCACTTATGGCCAAGTATTCTCTCTTGGGCCAAGACATTCAGTACACAAATATAACATGGTTTATTAGGAGGCTAAATTGTTAGTTGAATTTCACATACAGTTCAGTGAAAACCGGCCACATAATCGGAGCCCGAGCAGCGGCGGAAGAATAAACCAATCACAATGCTCGATCCCACGCGCACCAGGTACAAATTTTGGCGCCAAAAAAAAAACATGGCGGCCGGCCGTAAAAACCAAACTTCTTCTTTTGTTTTTTAAAACTTCTCGTAAAAGGCTTTATAATTTCGCGTCAGTGAAGAAGTCGTAGGATGAAATCAGTCAAAAAACAAAAAGATATATGGCTCGTGATATCTATCGCCATTGCGTGGCTTTGGGAGCAAAAAGCTAACATTGTCTAAAAAGAAAAAGGTTGAATTGGTGTCCATTGTAACTTGTATTCAAGTTAAGAACTTTTCTCAAATTTCCGTAGTCTTCTTTGCCTTTTAGGAAAACAGTAAGAGTAAATTCCAGCTGTGGGTTCTCTGGACTGAACTGTAACCCTTAGCGCAAGGCGGAGCTACTCGAGTTCAAGTGGATCGAGAATTAAGTTTACGTGCAATTATTTTTAAATACCTGACGGAAGCCTAGCTTGCTTTGCTTTTCAAGCATCTTTCTTCGTTTTCCTTTCAGTTAAGTCTTTGTTGGGTTATCGTAAAGTATTTGATCGGAAAACGTCTTCCTGCCTCCTCGACGCTTGGAGGCCGCCATATTGTTTGTTGTCAGACTGAACTCGAAAGGACTGAGCACTAGTTAGCACCAGCATTTTGTT